TCCTTCTCGCTCTACACATCCAATGAAACGTTTTTCATATTATGAAAGCCTGAAATCTAAAGGAAAGGCTTTGCTAATCAATGGAGAATATCAACTCAGCTTCTGGATTAATCATTAATCATTGTAAATTGGTAGAACCTGAATTAACAGATCCAACTTTCTAAATGGTATGCATGAGTAAAACCTGAGCTTAACTAGGTATTCTTTTTCTTTTAATGATTTATTTATTTTTATTTTAAATGAATTGGTGTTTTGCTTGCATGTATGTCTGTGTGAGGATGCTACAGACAGTTGTGAGTTGCCACGTGGGTGGTAGGAATTAAACCCAGGTCCTCTGGAAGACTAACCAGTCCTCTTAACCACTGAGCCATTTCTCCATACCCCTTGACTAAGTATTCTCATGATGACTGAAGTTCATATTGTCTTCTGGACAAATGCAGTCTTCATGTATGCAATTACTAACATTGGGGGGATCTTGCCCTACTATACATAAGCATCTTAATTATCTTCTGCATATTACTAAAATCCAGCTTCTACGAGATTCAGACTGTTTCTCTGCATTAAGCACATTTACAAAGCAACAATTGCCTTTAAGAAAAAGCAACTTTGCTCCCAAAAGAAAATCCAAAGTAGAATCGGGGTCTTTGTAAGCTACCATTCGACTGTAATTAGACAGTTCAAGTTGAGTTTTTATGGCGTTGTTTATGCGCCTAGCTGATTTGCTCTTGATGCCAACAGGCATGAAAGGAGGGGTATAGGTGGCCCAGTGGCACAACCTCTACTTCATTGTGCTCTCCCCTCCCACCATTTATCTTCTGGCTCTTTCCTGATTGAACACCATGCCCGAAATTTTAAGATCCAGTAGGAGTGCATGCCCTCAGTGCTTTGTCCTTCAAGCTGACTTTGGGAGACTACAGAGTGAGCCTCACATCCATTAGAGTTTGCCACATGCTTCTCTCCTATCTCCACTGCTCAGGAATGCCCAGCCTCTCACACTCCTCAAGGTTCTGATGATTCAAAGCACTTCTTTGCCTGAATCCCTGACCTTCAACACCTTGAACCCCAGGGGAGGTGGTTGATGTTGTAGTTGCTGTTGTACATTAAAGACATGTGTTTGGAGTACATTCAGTTTTTTCCCACTTCATAATTTCAGATTAGGCAAAATCTAAAATGTAAATAGCATTCATTCTCACCATATCACATCCTAATCTAAAACTACATGAGAATTGTGTCAGCATGCTCATTACCAAGACCTTTTGTACAAAGCCAGAACTAAGTTGAAGCTGGCTCTGGTATTTTTTTACACCTGAATAAAGGAAAGATTTCTTTTTAATCTTAACATTTTAACAGGGACAGGAAGAAAATCACACATTCTATGAATGTACGGCACTCTGCTTTTTGTCCTTCCTATGGGCAGTGGTGGAGGGGACAGGGTGTGTCTGCTTTCTCTTTCCATGCTATAACTGTCAGAGCTGAACTGCATGCCACACAAAAGTGAACAATTAGCAAATGGGTCTACCTCACCTCTAAAGTGCTTCAATTACTGAATTCTAAAAGAATTCTGACTTGCTTGGAGATGCTTTCCAGACAATGCAAAAACATTTAGTCCTAAGAGGGACCTGACCTTCTTCAGACTCTTCCAGTGTGTTATATTTGGATATGTGGTTTTGATGCAAATGGTATTAACAAGAATAATAATAGTTAGTATTTAGCATTACATTTTTAAGTGGCAGGCACCATCTCAGGTTCTCTACATGTAATGACTCGTTTTACTCCTCAAACTGCCCCCTCTCTGGAGCAGATACTAAAATAACCCTGCCAACAGAGGAAGAAAAAAAAAACTGAGGTCAAATGGAATTAGGCAGTTTTCCCAAATTCACAGAGATAAAATTACATAGAAATATGCCCCTCTTAAAAACTACCATCAAATATGAGCAGATCGTTGTCATTGTGTTTTGCATATTGAGTTTTTCATTAGGTCTCCGCCTGTCAGATTGATACAGGAGCTGGATCATAGCAATACTAACGTTACAGTGAACATGGAAACTGCTTGCTTAAATTTGCATTGCTTTAAGAGCTCACTCCTAACTAAGAAAAAAAGAAATACTTGACATTTTGGTATCTGTGGTATTAAAAAAGAACTAATATTTAATATTCAAGTGGCAACAGCTTGTAGAGTTTGCATACAACGCCCACAGGGATCGATTCTTCTTCAGAATGGCCTTTAGGAGTCGGCTTTTCAACAGCTGACACCTCCATTCTCTACAGCCCTCTCTCCTGCCAGCACCATGGGGCACACACAGAACAGAGCAGCAGACGTGTAATTCTTCACTGCAGGATTTGTCTTTGCAAATAATGGCGGATGTGGGAAATTAAGAAAAATGTAATTTTCACTGAATCAACCTCAGTGTAATCTCTATTTCTAAAAATGAAAAGGCGTCTCTGAAGAGCTTTTCTCCACATGCTCTCTCAGTCCCTTCACTGCTCCAACCAACAAGAGAAGGAAGAAGCAACCATACCTAATGGATGGCCAGTCATCCCGCACCTGTGCTGAGGAAGAAGCCTGATGAGTATATTGTGGCCTGGCATTACTCCAACTTGACTAATAGTCACAATGCAAACTCTGTCACCTGTGGAACTTTCAACTTGCCCAGCCTACTGTCAGGAAGATGCATAATAATTGAATAAAAGTTTGAAGATGCTCAACATGATGGAATATTTCCCCTCCCTCCCAATAGAATGCTTTCAGTACTGTGTTAAATGTCTGTAATTACTCATGGCTGGGTTAAAAAACAACTCAAAGTTAAAATCCTTGTCAGCTATGTACATTGGTGTGATAGGATAGTAGGGATCAAGTAGAAACAAAAACACTGGACCCATTACCCATGGTGTTCATCTATATGGTTTAGAGAGGATGCCCCCACCCAGTAACCATTGTGTTCTCATCACCAAGTTCTTGGGGTTATTGGTGCATTACTCAAGAAAATATTCAAATAGTATGGCAAATGTATCATCTGTTGGATTCATTGGTTTCCTTTTTCCAAGGAATATAAGCCAGATGTGGTGGAGCAGGACTATAATGACAGCATTCTTTGGAGGCTGAGGCAGGAGAAGAGGATAGGAAGGAGACGTGGCATGTATGACTTTAATTACATAAGCCATTGAATCAAACTGGACATCTTTGCCAAGAGTCTGGCTCCAGGGTTTTTTAAATAATAGGTTGTGTTCTTGAAAAATAATATTTGCCATGGAAAATAATTACCCACATTGTTTAATAGCTGACTTCTGAAAAAAATCACACAGTCCTGGTGGATATGCTTAATGCATTTGTGAAATCAGAAACTATTTGAACAATTTGATTGCTGACAACACAAGTGAAATTTAGAGATACACTTCAAGGATTTCCTAAGGAAAGTGGAATATTACTTAATTACCTCTTACAAGTTTATTCTGTATGATCCAAGAGAAAATCTAGCATAGCCATTCTTTGGGTTTCAAATGAGTGAATTCACTAAGTCTATAAACAGAAGTAAAGTGGTAAATAGTAAGTACCTGATAGGTAGAAACAGCAGATAGATGTCATCAAATCAGGAACTTACAGCCTCCAGTATTGATGACAAGGGTAGCCTGACAGAGAGAGCAAATGAAAGACCATCATATCAGGGTTTATAAAATCCAGAAAAAAATTGACTGGAGACATTGAAGCAGTCAGCTGAAGTTCCCAACTGAGTTTTCTCTCCATGGATGAGCATCCCACGATTCAACATGTAACTCCCTGTTTCCACTGTAAGCATTTTCCTGGCATGGGACAGACAATAGTCACCTCAGGTGGAAGTGGCTCACCTTTTAGCTGTTCTCTAAGACACAATGGGCTGTTTTTCTTGTCTCTTTCCTCCCTGTCACAGAGTTATGGGAGCAGCCTATCCCCAGACAAGGGCTCTTCGGTGACATTCTGAGACAACTAAGTTTCTAAAGCCAGTTTCTCAATGAGCTCAAACAGCACATGGCAATTGACCAACATAAAGTACATCACAGGGCTCTTAAATATAGATTCTATATAATTTTTCATAGTGTAAATAGGTCTCATGGTATCCTTGGTGGGGGATGGTGCCTGGTCAGGTTTGCAAAGTTTTTGGATTAAATACAAGCCTACTAACTCCATTACAAAAAGAGATAGACAGACAGACAGACAGACAGACAGACAGACAGACAGAGATAGAGATATAAATATAGATCACTTCAGAAACTTCCCTCTGCACACTGCATTTTTGAAGAGAAGGCGTATGGTGTTTTCCAACCTTATTTGACCCTGCTGATCCATCATAGCACATCTCCTCAGCCAAGAATCTGCAGAGTATGTTCTGCCTCCCTTCATGCCTGGCACATCACAGGTGCTCAGTCTATTCCAGTGCAACTTCAAAACAATCCACTTTCAATTGAATTGAAATTGTCTGTGGTATTCTTTGCCTTGGACTTGCTCGTGGATATAAATATGCAAATAGAATCAGGAACACAAATGCGTGGCTTCTAACCAGATCTCAGCCCACATATTCCAAAGCAAAGGAGTAGTGAAATGATCCATCGTGGTGTGTTGAACTCTAGCAAAGCTATTACTTAAAGTCGGATTTGTGCGAGATATAAAAGGAAAACCAGAAAGAGCATTTCCTGCTGGGTTTGTGCCTCCCATTCTGTATATCCCATTCTACGTACCTAAAAGACTGTTTTCCTCTTTTCAAAATTGATAGCCAACTTTTTTGTTGTTATTTTGCTATTCAAATCTCCGTGCTCTTTTTCCTGCAGATTTGCTCTAACACTGAATTTTAAGCATCTCTAAAACTGCTTGATACGTTATTATTCTTTCCAGATACCTCCTGAGAGCCAAGCAAAGAACACTAAAGACGAGAGGAGGAATGAGACTGGATCCTGTGCAGTGAAAAGAGACGCTCTAAGGAAAGGGGAATTCACTGTCCAGAGACTCGCCGGCCTGCCTTGTCATCAGAATGAGAACTTACCGGTACATCTTGCTGCTCTTTTGGGTCGGCCAGCCCTACCCAACTTTCTCCAGCCCGTTATCTAAAAGGACTAGTGGCTTCCCAGCAAAGAGGAGGGCCTTGGAGCTCTCTGCAAATGGCAAGAATGAACTGAGCCGTTCGAAAAGGAGCTGGATGTGGAATCAGTTCTTCCTCCTGGAGGAATACACGGGATCCGATTATCAGTACGTGGGCAAGGTAGGAGTCCTTTGGGTGCTTTGACAGTCTAGACTTAAAAGCCCCAAGAAGTTACTGCTAAGAAATAGATAGGGAGAGTGTAAACTATTCCCCAACACGGTATGAATGGTTGTTTATCTGGTGAGACTTTTTCTCTCCTCGCTTGAGTAGTTGAGGGATGAAAGTGTAGCAAGAAGCTGAGAAATATTAGCAGTGCAACAGAGAGCGAATGCTCTGGTGGAAAACGAACCGCCCACAACCATCCACCGGAGGATTATCATAAATCCTTTAATTTTTCACTTTAGCTGGAAAAATGGGGTCCAGCTAGTCTGTAAAGTGGGGCCTATTAAAAATAGAAATGGAGCAATTTTGCTGTGAGGAGAGCAAGTCCTTTTTCTCAATTTGAAAGCAAACATTCTGAGACTGAGTCACTTTAACTGTTTCTTAACTCTGTTTCTCCATGCACCCCTGGCTCTCAGAACAAAAGTTCCCTTTTCTTGGCCAAACTCAGCCGCAGATGTTAGATATAGCAGTTACTATTGCCTCAAGTAGGAGTGGTTAGTCTTATCCCAAATAATTGGCCAGAACCAAGCATCTTAAATTCTTAGGATTTAACTGTAGCAAGATTGACGAGAGATGCATGTTACACAAAAGTGCTATTTCTGGGTAACTACATCAGACCATTTTATTGACTAGAAAGTAGAGTGAGGAGTGAGGTCCTAGACTCACTGGTCCATGGCATCTACTCATGTCACAAGCTATCTTGCTGAAGAAAATTTGACCTAGGCAAAGATGTAAAAGACAAGCCAGGGTCTCCATAGCTTGCAGATTCTGCATTTCAGTAGGTGGTATGGATAAGAAAATAATTGTCACACATATCTTACGGATGATAAAATGTCCTTGCCTATGATTGATTTTAAAACACCTTCATCAGGACAGCATGCAAACAGCATAAATTTTGCAGATTCCTCAGGCTGCATGTTCACTTTTCAGTCTGTGATCAAATACCCCTGAATAACTCTGTGCAAATATTCTCCTTAAGTATTTACCACTATAAATGAAGGAGGCTTGGGTTGAGGTAGCCAGGCAATGTTCCAGTACAGTGAATTATTAATGTGGAATAAAGTAAGAGAGGAAAATATCCAGAGACCTGGTGAACAGCAACCCTGATGCCCCAAGGATCTTGTCACTGATTTGCTTTGCAACTCAACACCTGCTGGGACCACTAAGGAATATACTTCTTTTCCTGCTTATACTTCCCTGCTTATACTTCATTTCCTCTGTGCCACAGTATTAATAGAGTAATAGTTTTTATTTTAATCTTTAAAGCGCTTTCACAATGCAAATAGCATGATTACCATAGAAGATTAAGCTTTAAAAAGCACTTTGTCAAAAAATGATTGAAATCCCCTCCCCTGCTTTTTTTCCTTCTCAAATTGTGATACCATCAGATTCTTGAAGTCCAGGATGGTAGCAGCAGCAATGGGTAAGAATGCACAAGAATGGGTTTCACTTTTATAATTGTGATAGGGAAAATAGCTAGAGGAAAGTTGCAGCTATGGATGTACAGGTCCAAAACTTCATCACTAAACTGCCAGTTGCCAGGACCCTGAATGGGTAAATGAGCCTTCTGGGCTTTGGTTTCTTCACCGGGGAAGTTCAGGCAGCTGCATCCCCAGCTGGAGTTGCAGGGGAACACCAGAGAGATGAGCACCATTGGCCAATACACAGTGTGTGCTTGAAGTCTCTAAATGTTGAGAACCTCATTGTATGTGTCCCACTAAGTCTATGTATAATGAAGTGAGGTTGAATATTGAGCTCTGTAACACTGCAAAAGCAAAATAATGCAATTAGCAAATCTCAGTGGCTGAAAAATGTGATGATTAATGGTGAAATCCCTTCACAGCTGTAGCTTTCCCCACACTCATTGGATCTGGATAGTCTATTGGCAGCAAGACACAGTTTCCCTTCCTCACCCCTCATTGTCTTCTGCCATTTTCTGCTGCCCTTTCTCCTCCTTAAATCATAACACTCGAGGGAATAATAACGAGAGAAGAAAAATATCAAAAGTAAGAACTGACATTGTCCTTCCACCCAGGGTGCTGCAGGGGATGGAAGAGTCATTCTCAAACTGCTGAGATGGCTATTTTCCAGATCTATCTCTGCAGTAATGTGATGCCAACAGACAAATGGGTCTTTATTCTAATTAGAAGTAGAAGAAAATAAGAATAAATTTTACAAAAAGAAAGAGAAAAGGCAGGGGAGGTGGCTCAATGGTAGAATGCTTGCCTAACATGCCAAGGCCCCAGGTTCAATCTCACCCCCCAAAAAAGCAAAAGAAGGGGAGAAGCACAATGGGCCTCCAGTGTGACAACACATGGGACAACCTTTAATTTCAACTAATTAGGGAGAAAAGAGCTGATGAGACTATCCCAGAATAATTGTGTCTGGAAACCTTAGAAAAAACAAAAACAAAAACAAAAACAAACAACAACAACAACAAAAAAACCCACTGGACTAAGGCAGAGATTCCAAAGTTCTCTCAGGTCACAGGGCTGTTTCTCAGGCTAGCCTTGGACAGAAACAAATATCTAATGGTCTCATGTAGTAGATAGACTAAAACAACTCAATAATAATTTCTCTTAACAGCTCAGTAGCCCTTTGAAAAGATAATAGATATAAGTTAACAAAAACTAGTATTTTTATTTTATTCTTAATCACAGTCACTTACATGGCTTTGAACTCATTCTCAAACAGATTGCATTTTACCCCCTAGTTGCCCTTTCTACCCTGACATTTACACTGTAGATGTTTCCAGTCTCAGCCATTAACAGGAATCCCAGCACTCAGTATGACATCATCAAAAGGAATATAGTGCCACCTTCTGTAAAATCTGTGAACTACCTTTAGCTAGTAATGGCAAATTGGTGGGCACTCCTTCTGAGTGCCCTGCAGCAACCAGGCAGCCTTGTTGAGAGCTCTGGGAGGCATGAACTGTAGTTAAGTCAGCATGTGAACTTACACAGAGGCTGTAAGACAAACTTTAGTGGCGTCATCAGTGCTGCAAACAGTAATTACTTAGAGCCTAGCATAGTTTTGCCTAAAATGAAAGAGATGAATCAGATCTACACAGGGAAGGATAGAAGCACTTAATGAGGAAAAGTCATGGACTTGAACAAACAGTATTTAAGTTGAAGGAAAATACTTCGCTTTCATCTGCTTGTATTTGTGTGGATCTGTTCAAAGTGGGTCAGAGAGGCAGTGGGGAAGGAATGAAAATGTGAGGCAGAAAGTAGAAAGTGAAGAGGGTACAGGCACATAAGTTTACAAGAGCCAGCAAGGAAAGAGACCAAGGCTGGGCCAGTAATGAAGGAACCATGAGATCCATACTGGGAAGCAAGGAGCAGCCGTGACATTTTTCCTCTTGTCCTCATGTTCTGCAGCCTTCTGCTATATTCTATAAGCTTAACATAAACACAAGAACAAGGCAGAGCCAGATTGCACTTATGGGGGAAAACCTAAATTTGTGGCGGCATCTAGAGATAGCAGGATATGAAGGAAGAGGCCTAAGTGCAGTAGCAATGTGTGAGCAGAAACATGTATCCAGGTATAAGTAAATGACTGATTGGGGGGGAGCAATCTTGGGGTGCTTCAGCAAAGAATCATCCATCAGACCTCGTTGGAAAGGATTCTCAGGCTCTACCTAGTTGTCACTGAATCGGAGTCCCCAGGTGAGCAGTTTGGCAGTTTAAAAGTTTGAGAACTGCTACTTTTAAAGATGCCTTGCTCTGGTCTCTACTCCTTGGAGATTCTGAATTAGTTGGCTTTTAATTAAGCACTAATGACTCTGACATGTTGTCAATTTCCAGAACCACAGCCCTAGGGGATACAACCGCCAGTCATGATAGCAGAATCGTCCAGTTCAGTGGCAAAGTGACACCCACAGAGAAAATGGGAAAATAAAGGAGTGAGGGCAGCCAGGCTTTGAGGTTCAGCAAAGCCCCCCTAGAGAAGGTGAGAGTGGACCCCATAGTCAAGACAGAGTGGGAGTTAGTGCTCAGTGAAGAGGGAGAGTTGCTTAGCCCTCCTGGGTAATTGCCTGCAGACATGAAAAGGGCAAAAGTCAGAAGTCTGAAGAGTCCAAACGTTAGAGACTCGACAACCAAGAACGTGAAGTGATGATCCAGGAAACACAAGTGCATGGTTTTTGTTAGAGGGTGAAGGGAGAGTGTTTGACTTTACTCAGTATGATCTCTGGCTTATGTAAACTTAACGGAAAATGGGGAAGAAATCGTTTCAATTCTTCCTTCCCAGAAATCCCCATACCCCTGGGCCAGCTTCACAGAATCTAGTATTTCCTTTTTCATATCCATTTGAGAGCATTCTATACCAGAAAAGAATGGGTAGCTATAGTCAGAGGCCAGATTTTGAAGATGGATGCATTCACCAGTCAAAGATGAACCTTGTGTGTGGAGGGCCTTGTTTTGTTTTGTTCGTGTGTGTGTGTGTGTGTGTGTGTGTGTGTGTGTGTGTGTGTGTGTGTGTGTTTTGTTTTGTTCTTTATCTCCAAATTTGCCCTACCTTTCTACAAAAGCTTCACACATTCTACATAGCCTGTGGCAAATTTCATCCACTTGATCTTGTAGGTTGTTCTTTAGCCTGCACACGACATCCACAAGCGATAGACTGCTATAAGTATCTGAAGTATGGTTCCTTTTAGTAGCATGACAGGAGGTCTGTATTTGTGGAATTTTAGTGCACCGTGTATGTTTAGAAATATTTTTCTGTTACCTTTGGGGAAATTAGTAAATTTCTTGGTGGGGGGAGGGGAAAGAGTTCCCAATAACTGATCTGCTGTGTACATTAATATCATGAAATTTTAGGTTCTATTTGAGGCCTTAATGGTCCTGATTGGGCTGTCTCTTGAGTCTTTAAAATTAATGTCTACCCAATTCCAGAAGCCATTCTTCTCCTGGTAATTAGACAGTAATGTTTTAACAACCCATAAAAATAAACGCCCT